ACCTAAATAAATTACTGTTAGAAAAGCAATTATGTAACTGCTGAAAGTTTAATCTATAGTTAAGCTGTGAGTAATAATCATATTTTTACTGATTTATGAATGGAAAAAAATATTAGTAATAACTTCCCAACTCTCTGGAGAGAACAGTTTTATAAAGGTAAAGGATTCAAGGCACAGTGTATCTTAACTGTAGGTATGTTTCCTTTCCACTCAATATATGCAATTCAACATGCAACTCTTAACTCTTCAACAAAGAGAAGAGCTTCTTAAAACCATTGAGTCAGTTCTTGGTTGAACCTGCATATTAAACTCTTGCTTCTCTTTAAACTAAAATAGTAATGGGAGGGTTATGATTCTCCTTCTCCCCATTTCTAACGATACTAGATTTAAGAAACAGAATTATGAAATGTGTTCTAGAGGATTAAATGTTAGTCTGAAAATTTGGACAGTATCTTGTTAATGTTAATCAAGTTTCCTTTCCCCTCCCCCTTTAAAGAATATCCACATGAATAGGTAGTACATCACAACCTACCTAATTTCATTATAGAGAGGTGTAGGTTTGGAGTTATACTAAAAGACCATGAATAAGAAAAATAGTTTATTAAGTTATTTTGCAATTCCTTAATTTTAAAAATGGGCTAAATTGTTAATGATTTTAGTTTTAGATCACACACACACACACACACACACACACACACACACACACACGAATGTAGTTATTTACATGTGCAATCCAATGAGTCTTTTTTTTTATTACAGGGTTATAAACACCTGAAAAGTAGCACTTAATGGAAATAATGACATAATCTATCCTAGCATTATGTATAATACTAGCTGGAGAACATGAGTTTAAATTAAAAACAAACAAACAAACAAAACCAATTCTCTGGGAAGAAAAGAAGTGCATAATATGCAAAAACACAACAAACAAACCAAACCAAAACTACACACACAGATGTGCAGTTGCCTTGTCTTCAAATGTCCAAAACAATTACACACCTCCTACATTCAATTCTTTCAACCCCCATAGCCAACAAAGCAAAGTGCTGGCACAGATTAGAATCTGCATAATCTATAAAGTAATACACGCCAGTTTTTAATGCACAACGGAAATCTGGTTTGCTCCCAGCTGCTGGTATAATAATTATTGTCCTACGGTTGCTAAGAGATTCTTTGACTTTTTTTCCTTGAGACTACTAAAACATTTCTGTGTGCAAAGGCAAAAAGGAGGCTGGGGAAAGCAATAAAATGACTCCAGCTGTAGATGTCCAACGGAAAAAGCCAGATGACAGCTGTAGAGAAAACGAAAACCAGACTGAGCTGCTCTCTTCTTCAAAGATTTTCTCTTCACTTTCCCCCCTCTCCTAATTTTCAAAGCTCTTTAACAATGTTCTGTTCCAAATAAATGATTGCGAAGAAGAGAACAGAGTCCACACTACTCTTAAGAATTCTCTTCTTAAGGTTGTATTCCATGAGGCTATTAATTTTGTTCCACTTGGTTATAAGCAGCAATGAAAGGTGTTGGCAATTATTGTTTCGTTTAAATGGAGATAAAAACTTTATTAAGTGTCTGATGTTTAAAATGACCTTTCTTTTTCTTTTAAGTTTGACCACAAACTTGCAAGATAATATTCAAGTTAAGTTATGCTGTACTTTTACCTAGACTGTAATATTCTCATTGAATGTAACAGGTAACTGATATATTTTCTGTCCCTTAAATGAGCTTTATTTCAAAATTACAGCACAGTAACTTTTTATTTGGGAATTATGAATGACACAACTGATGATGGTGTGATGTAAGAAAAGGTGGTTCAGTACATTAGAAAACAAAGACTAACTATAAACCATGAAAATGGACTGGGAAAACACATCTTTTAACTCTTTGTATTCTAATATTCTACATAAATCTAGGTAAAATTTTAAATGAAAAAATTAATTTTGCATAAATAGAAAACAGAATGTCAGTAATTACCTTTCATTGTCTGGAATATGGTTATACAATTAAAAATGTAGTTACATTAGTATCATATTTAATGGATCCTAGACTATCAAAACAGATTGCACAGAAACTATCTGGTCACATAATAAAAATCAACTTAAAAATTGCAGAGTTCTTTGTGAATTACTATAGGATTATACTTATTACCAGGAGTGCCATAAAACTCATTTTTGAGAAAGCTTCAGTCTTTCAACTTTGTCTTCGGACAGAAAATCCTCATTAAATGTTACCTCTGCAAATCAGTACATGAAAAATTCACATTCTGCTTGCCTGAAGCAAAACCACTTAAGAAAGTAGAGGTAAATCATAGCACTTTTTACCACTTTGGCACAAAAATCATAATACCTAATCCTGACAAAGAACAAGTCAGTTAAGCACTTCTTAGGGTCAAAGGAGAAAAGATGTCAATTTTTTTTAAGACCAATTAAGTCTCATCTTTCATTTCCCTGGAGCATGAAATTTGAGATTTTCTACTTTTATAAATTCAAATCTATTGTGAGATGAGGTTTGTGAACTCTTGATCATTCCAATACACCTAAATAATAAGCTTCCAGTGTTAGAACTTGCAACCTTGGCAGGTAAAATGGTAAAATTTATCTTAAAACAAGCATAGGCCAGCCCCCCCCTTTTTTTTTAAATATAAAGACACTAATTAGCTTATTAAAAAAGCTAAAGAAAGAGAATAAAGTGCATTCAAGCTTCATTCCTGGATAATCTTTCAAAGAATCAAATACCACAACTTTAAGGTTTTAGTTTAAGTAACTGTAAAATGGATCTTAAGAAATAGTAAAAATGTTATACTTGCCCTGAAGGAGTTTATGATCTAAACTTCCAATAAAATCATCACTTTCATCATAAAAATCTTTGGTTATAAAATTAAAATTTCCTTAGAAATTTTATAATTTACCTATATTAGAAATGAATACATCAATTTTAAAAAATTATCCAGATAATAGATTTAACACCTTCCACTATTTCTCAATTAAGCTTTTGCAAATGGAAGCCAGAGAAAGTATGGGCAATCTACTCAATTTGGACATGAATACCTCTATCTTGGTCAGGTACTACAGGAGACAATTAGCTGGGCCCGAAATTTAAAGGGAGGTAAAGTGGGCTTGACTATAGTAGGGGGACATTGTGAAGCACTTTCAATGACCCCAAGATTGTCTCTGAAACAAAAACCTATTTTTTAAAAAGCATTAAATACTCTTTTTGGTATTTATACCAAAAATCTTTATAGAACACCAGAATCTCCAAACAATCAAAATGATATGTGACCTAAAGGGCAATGCAGAGATGCTTGGCACAGGGTACAGTACATTGCCAAGGATGATCTACACACAAGAAATGGCTTAAAATAATTTAGGTAACATATAATCACAATAGAAGTTGTGCTGGTCATAAAACCGTGCCACAGCAAGGGTATAAAGAGATGGACAAACTAAGTCTTGGGCTAGTATGGATGAAATAATAAGAGGTCTATTGTTAGAAGTTTAAATAATCAGTTTTTTTGCAGAGGTTAAGAAGAAATAAATTAATGTCAGGTGAAAAAAGATATTTCCTCTTATATAACCCCTCCCTCAACTTAAAAAAAAAGACATTTGCTTACTGTCATGTTTAATTTTCTAAATAATCTAGCTTTGAACAATCATGTGAGGAGGAAGCTTTACTATTTTTCCATCCCTTTGGAACAAAGAAATAAGGAAGTTTTATTATATCATCTACTAGATATAGTACAAGCTTCTTTAAAGAAGTATTAGGAAGTGAAGGGACACTGGTTCACTCATGTTGAGTAACCTAATAGCATAAAATTTTCTCATTTGTCCGTAAAAAACAACAAACTTATTTTATATTATGATCAACAAAACCAAATAAAGAAACATACAAAGCTAGAAGAAAACTTCTATGATAGAAGTCAGAAACAGATGGAAAAAAAGTTTATCTTTTAAAATAAAAATATAGTAACTGTCAATTTAAAAAAGATTCTTAAGTGTTTTCTCCTGTGAATGAGGGTTTTTTAATTCTTCCAGGCAGGGTCCCTTGGGATATAGGGAATGAAGAATGAGGAAAAGCTGGACAGTGCCCAGGAGGTTAAATGTTGTTCCTCTACTTAGACCTTCTGTTTTAAGTCTCTTAAGTCTAGTCTTTTTGCTGTTCTTGGAAGCAGCAAGGGATACTAGAACGTTGTTGGACTTGGAAGTGGAGAAACCTGGGTTCAAGACCTGACTCTGACACTTCCTCAGCATGTGCCCTGAGCAAGTCATTCCACTGGCTGAGTTTTAGTTTCCTCATTTGGAAAAAAGGAGTTGTGAGGAAAGCACTTTGTGTTTGGCCAAGTGATTGAACAAATGTTAGCTATGCATGCCTCTATTTTGCTTCTGTGACTCTTTCATGTTCACTTTCTTTCCTAATTCATCTCTAACTTACAAATACAGTTCCAGCAGAAAGCATGATTATAAACCAAAATGAATATTTTCTTTCCACTGATTACTACAGAAACTTATGAATGCTTCTGTAATAATTTTTTGGTTTCACAGAATTATCTGAAACTGGCAAAATAGTTTTAATATGGGCCATTTTGTGGGCCATAAATATAGCTAATGTATATGAACTATGTGAAAATGGTATTTAAAAAGAAATTTATCCATCTGTCTGCTGGCTGCATTGCTAAGTCAGAGAAAGTCTCCTTCACTTTCAGTCTCAATATCTGCTGGAGGCTATGGGGTAGTTAAACCTGGTGGAATGTATACTTTTTAAAAATTAAGTACATTTTTAAAACTTTGCCTTTTTCTATAAATTATTTTTTGTTTCTACTTTGTTGGCTATAATTTATTAAATTTTAAGATGATTCTGAATTAGCAACACAATTAGCAAATATAAATCCTTCAAAGATTTGGCTGTCATTTCCTTAGAACAATTACTAAAAAGAAACCCAAACCACCACCACCACCAACAAAACCACCAAAACATGGAAAGTATGATAAAATACTTTAATACTTACTGGAAAGTTATCTTCAGCTACTTCAACTTCACCCTGTGATGTTAGACAGTCTAAGGAACAAAGGTAACAAGAAATTAGGCAAATTTGAACAGACACACACACACACACAAGATGCAATTGATTTCTGTCATCCCAATACTGCTGGAAATTATAGATAATTATGTGGTCCACCTGACAGTCAGGTAAGCACCATTCACATGAACTTAACTTCAGACAAAAATCCCTGGGAAGCAATCAGTAATTGTCTTTATGTTGCAGAGGAACAGGTGTTGACTACCTTACTATCATTTAACCCCTGCAAAACACAGCTAACTAGCTGAGTCCAAGGGTGAATTAATGGTCTTCAGACTACTGAGAGGATAGGGCTCAAATATGACTAATAAAAGAAACAATTAATGCCATACAGCGTGCTTCTGATTCAAAAGTCAGGTCCATATGTACAATCTACCTAAATGCATCACTTTAACCTGAGTTTCATACATATAAGTTCCTTGTTAAATATAGCATTAGTACAATAGCAATAGTGTAACAGTGTAAACACAGAGGCATTAGGTATTAATTTATTAATGACATCGTAGTGAGAAGTTGATGGGGATAATGAGATATGGCTGAAATTATATTAATCTGCTTAAATAATTTTCTATCCCTAAAAGATTGTTCTTTTTAAATTTGTATTTCCATTACTACTTTTCAGTTAACGTATCTGCTTTTTTTGAAATGTACAATGAACTGGAAAGCAGCCTGCCACACCCTACTGGTCAAACTTCTTTTTACCAATTAAATATATTTAAGAATTGAATAGCATCTTATGGTGACTTTTCCTCTTTTTGAAAGAAATTGGTTTTTAAAGGGCCTCATTTTTGTTTTAAAAAAAAAAACCATAAGCCACTTTTACATGAAAGTTTTCTCTTCACTTATAATCAGTTTAAAGAGAAAATGTTGTATATGCCAGAATGCTTTATCTTTCTTTCAAGTTCTTACGTCACCAGTGTTAAAGTCACCCATTAAAAAAAGAAAACGTTACTTGCCATTTTAATGAATAATGTTTGTAGTCACAAGAAATGTTAAAGGAAAACTTGAGCTTTAAAGGACTACAGTAATTCTAAATTGACAGACACTATTGAAAAAGGGCTTCATTCCACTAAAAGCTTACTTATTTTAAAACATAAACCTTGGGTCAACTTTTGAAAGTCCACTGGAGATAATGGATAAATTAAGTGAGAAGGTAGACATGAAACCTACCTTGAGAAATATCTTCTATAGCTCTTCGAATGCCTCTGTCAAAGGCTCTTGCATCAGCAGGACTTTGAAAAGTAAGGCCAAACTTTTTGTCATCAATCTTCCAGTGATGAAAGGTTGGGGTGACCTTGTTGTAAATGAGGTCCTTCTTTAGCATACATTCTAAAACCACCTACCAGGAATAAAAAACCCTAAGTTATTGCACTCATACTGAAGGTATCTAGTAGACTGAGTTCAAAATGGGGTGTGTGGGTGGTACAGCTAACCACATTGTCAAATAGCTTATTAAAAAAAATTCAAAGCTACTTAATATTCACATACTGTATTAAATAAATCCAGAAATGAAGTAAGGTTCAGAATATGCTTTAAGGATAAGTCATTTTTGTTTAAAATATTATCTTAAAAGTACAGTGACACATAAGTTAAAACATTTTCTTTAAAAAGTCATGTACGTGAAAAAAATAAGCACCTTGGATTAGAGGCATTAAGAAAATGCTAAAAAATGTTTTATAGTATCTTCATTTGCAAATAACTGATACTTTTTAATGTTCTCCTTTCAAGAACCATGACTTACACTAAAAAATATACGTTTATAGCTAGGATTCAAAAGAATAAATGCCAAGAAAAGAATGAAATATTTTAACATATAAATTGAGTTATCTTCCTAAAGAGATACATAACTGTTTAATATATTTATTTTTACTTTGGGATTCAATGAACTAATCCTTGTGTGGGTGGGTGGGAGATTGCAGTGAAGGGAGAAGAGTTAATCAGACCATTCTTGATTCATTTATTTTCCTCAGCCCAAAAAATTTCATCACAGGAATCAAGAAATAGGTAATAGAAATAAGGTGTTAAAGTGCAAGGAAGGGTTTTTCCTTTGTTATTTCTTCATGAGGTGTGAAGATCCACCTGATAGAATTAGAGGGCAGTTGGCTGACTAAACATCAGCCATGTCTGTGAGGGTGGTCTTTAACAAAAAAGATCCTTGCCAGCTCCAGAATACAGTGACCTCTGGCAGCAGAGAAGAGAATAAGGATGGACTCAAGATAGAATAATAAGCCCTGGTAGTCATGAGTTTAGCTGCATAAAAGGAGCAGGCCCAGGGATCTTTACTTGCCCAATGATTTGTCCAGCAGAGACTCTTTGCCTATGTGAGAGTAATAAGACAAAGGACACTGGGGCTCTGCAGTATCACAGTATGAGTTTTCTTGGCTGTATATTGTTTTAGGCAATGGGGTTAAGTGACTTGCCCAGGGTCACACAGCTAGTAAATGTTATGTGTGTGAGGCTGGATTTGAACTAGGTCCTCCTGAATCCAGGGCCGGTGCTCTATTCACTGTGCCACCTAGCTGCCCCAAAACATTTTTTTAAACTTCAGGTTTTTCCTCTGTGTGTATGCTAAGCTTAGATGTTTTCTCCTAACCTAAAAACATAAATTCCTAGATTGAAAACTTATCTTTAAGTATAAGAAGGATGGTCACCAGATATTCAAATTTTCAAATTTGAAAAAATTCAAAGAAGTGAGCTTAAATAAGAAATTTAAGGAAGAACTTCCACATACTAACAGTTGTTAGAAAATGAATTGCTTAGTGAAGGAGGACTGTATAGGTATCAAATATCTGAGGTAAGGCTCTGCCTAGGGGGAATGGAATAAAGGACATGCCTTCATTTTTTGGATTGGACTTGTGATTTCTTCAGTGTAGGGAGTATGTGGTGAGGAACTCCCTCTATCAATAGCAAAAGGCACCTGTTCTGTAATTTAGACATTGCCTGTGGGTTCTGGTCACATGGTATATATGTCAGAAGTCAGTTGTCAAAGGTGGGAGAGGCAATATGATATGGGGAATAGAGAGATGAAACCCTGTAATCAGGAGACCTGGATTATCTTTCATTATGATTATATAATAAACTATCTTGGCATTTCCACTGTAGTTAATATTTATTAAAAGCATACTTAATACAAATAAGTATCTTTATAAAGAGTTCTGAACAAATTGAGTTAAATAAATGGATAATTACAATTACAATTTCTAAATATCTTATAGTATGTATCCTATTTGATGATAATAAGATTCAAGTAATAGGATTTTACTATTGTTAATGAGTTTATTCTAATTTAATCCTGACAAAAGGCACCTAATATTAATATAGTAACATATGTAATATAATATGACAAGAAGATGTATCTAACTACTCTTGTGAAGAGCAAGATGAGAAAACATGTATAGAAAATTACTTATTACAACTGGAAACCACAATCCCTCTTTCAGTAGCATTACTGCTTTGCTAAAAATGAGACTAACATTTCTGGACTCTTATATAGTGCCATTCAACCATATTAAAATGGTGTCTGTGGGTTAAGTTGTGTCCCCAGAGGTGTGAACCACAGGAAATTGGTTTTATCTGGATTTTTCCAATCACTATGACTGTAATGATAAATATAGGGAGTTGGGGTGAGAGGGCACAGAGAAGGGGAAGTAATTTATATCTGAGGAAAAATTGATCAGTTAGTGAAAACTATGAAAAGTCATTTGGTTTTAAAAATTTTCACGATATCTGAAACATTCAACTGGGCAGTAATTCAGATTCCTTCTATAAACTGCCTCTCCATTCTAGCAAACAAGTTTCTAAAGATAAGATTTTCTAATATTTTATACCAGATAACAACTTACCACAACATATCAGTTTAAATCCTCCTAAGCAATTTAGTTACAGTAATTTCCAGAAATCTACAATTCCCAAATGACATATAATTTTGAAGCCCTTTTGTGACAAAATGTGCTATTTTATGATTTTTTAAACCCAATAATTCAGAGTTCCACCTAAAAAATGTATTAACAAGCTATGCTATTTGATGTGAAAAGATGTCAAACTAGTTTTAAAAAGTAGATACAGATTTTTGAGTATGCCTTTTACCTACAGAACAGAAAATAGCCTTTTATTCTGTTCAGATTTAAGAAATAAAACAAGTTTACTTTTTAACATGCAGAATTCATGAAGGATAAAACTAATTATTAGAAAAAGTATGTCATTTCTAAATTGATAAGGAGGTAGAAAAGCAAACTTTCTTAAGATTTGTCTTTTTCTGTATCACTGAGTGTCAAAGTGATTCTTTCAGCTTCTGTGTTTTCTGATAGCATGAAGAGTAGAACAATATTTGAACCAAGGTTACATTATATATTGGGAATTTTTTTTTGGTACATAATGTTGTTTTTAATTTTTCTGCAGCTGTAGCTTCATTTAACCACACAACATGCAAATTACTTACGCAACATCAGATAAATATCTGATGAATGAATAAAAATTTATCTGAGGCATAAAACATTTGAAGACTTTGGTTCTTTTGTTTTTGTTTTGTTTCAATGCATTAAAAAATGACTCCTCAAATTCCTTTCTCATTTTCAGGTTCCATGGTCAGATTAGGGTCTGAAATTTTCTATTTGACAAAAGATGTTTACATATTTGACTATATCCAAACAGCCTGCTAAAATCAAACATTCATAAAAGCTTCTAGTTGAATCTCCTTTTTGCTTTGTAGTATGTAACATGAAATCTCCAGGACTGAATATAGTCTCAATTCAGTATCAGGATGGGGCAAGCAACCAAACATTCACACCACCCAAGGCCACACACACACACACACACACACACACACACACACAAACACACACACTTAATCACTCACTCTGATTGGACTGCCAAGTATTCGTGTTTATCAATCACACAGTACTCAAAGTTAAAAAACAAAGCAATTCTTCAAACGGCTTATTGTAGCCATGTGAGATCCACAATTTATGCATAATATAGCAAGAGAATGGCACAACAGACATGTAGCCTAAGAAAAGCAACAATATCCACAAACTGTAAGTCTTGGATGAACCACTCCAGATCTCTCGTGCAGATCATCTATTGAGGATTTAGACAGATGAGGACAAGAATTACATAGAATGAAAATATATGGATAGATGAGCTGCAAGTGCATATAGGTGGAGAGTGCATACAATGAGTAAATTGTGAATCAAGGTATAAGCACTCATACTTTATTAATGTGTAGAATAAAATAATTTTAGAGATGAAAGGGATTTTTAGAGACCATACATCCAATTGTCTCATTTTATAGATGGAGCAAGTGCATGAGGCCTGACAACACATTTACATAATACATCTACATAATAAGGCAGATCTAGGAATAAAATCCACATTTTCCATTGCAGTATGCTGATTTTTCTAGCAACAGTAGTAGTCCCTAATTTCCACACAGATGAGTTTGATATCATAAAATGGATAGCTGACATATTTAACCAACTGCAGAAGGACTACATGATTCTTGCTTACTCAGTATAACCAATGAAGCCAAAACTGCCAGGTTAAGAAATTAGGGATGCTGGTGTCATTTACTAATTATTGATCTAGTAAATGGTGAGTTTACCTGACCCTCCTTAATAGTTCTTAATAGATTCACTTATCAGGAAATATCTGACTCAAGACAATTTTGAGTCTTGCTAAAACTACTTACTCTTTGTCAGTTGCCAGAGACAAAAACATAGTTAAGTTGTTCAATTTATGACTGTTATACTTGAAATTCAGGCCAAGCTTATTAGTGAGAAACACTAATAGTTAAGTAAACTTCTTCTTGAGTTGGGAACTTCTCAAAGCATGTGAACATGATAAAGTCACTATGATAAGTATTATTTAGGGTTCTGACACTTAATGGCCAGAGAAAGGGTAAACAAAAGTAAAAATAGTCTTGATGGCTCCACTCTCCTTTCTATTTTATAGAAAGTTGTTCACATATTACCATGGCTTTAGAAAATGGTTAACTTTGATAGCTCACAATGTAATCACTATATAGTTATTAATTTTTTAAAAGATATTTATGTTTTAACATTTTTCAACAGAAAGCAAGAATTTCCACATACAGCAGAAGACAAAGAGGAATGTATATGAAACCATAAACTTGTTTCATATTATTTCTTAAAATATATGAAACTTCCACATATAAAATCCATCTAATGCCAAAACAAATTATAGGCGTGAAAATTTTTTAAGTTAAAGAGAAATTTATACTTTAACTTTCTAATCTATTACACTATATTGAAAGAGATCAACACAAGAGAAATAATTATGTAAACTTTGTTTTTATTATGCTTTTTTTAAGTATAAAAAGTT